TTTATTTATTTATTTATTTAAAAAGATAGATGGAAATAATGTGTTTGGGCCAGACTTTGCATATCTTCATACATTCCCAAAGATGTGGATTGGTGAAGTCAAGGTATTTTGAAAGGGGAAGAACCAGCTAACATTATTCCTATTGACAGGACTGGTGTAGGATGGGGCAAAGTTCTCACCAGTGGGGCTCTACCAGTGTGCAGTAATGGACTTGAGGACAAGGGAGGACTCGTCAAGTGGTAAGCCAGAAGCCTAGGAATATTGAATGGCCTTTTGTTGGAAGTGATATAAATAGAAAGGATTGTAAACATTTTTTATATGCAGTAACAGCAGCTAGAATACTACTGGCCCAAAAATGGAAACAAGAAGAACTCCCGACGATTGAAGAATGGAGGATGAAGTTAATGGACTATGCAGAATTAGACAAATTAACAGGAAGGATCTGAAACCAGCGAGACCAGAAATTTACCGAAGACTGGAGTAAATTTATGAACTATTTGAAAAGTATTTGTGATGACCAGACGACGTTTGTAGGTCTGCAAGAAGTTCTGTGAGGAGTATAATTGGAAGTATTGTAAAAATGGAGAAGGGATGATGGTATGTTAATAGATGTAAAGACAATACAAAGTTAAGAAATGCATAAGAAGTGGTTAAGACGGAAGATCATCAGAGGTGCTGATGGAAGTCCAATAAGATTGTATTTGTAAAAAAATGTGTGTTATGTTTTATAATTTACATGTTAAAACTAATAAAAATGTATTTTTAAAAAAAAGGAATATTGAATGGTCTTTAAAAGCCCAGCTGGAAAAGCTTGATAGCATTAGAAACCATGGAAAGAAAGTCCCTTAATAGGAAGAATTATTTAAATGTATGCAATGATGGCTATTGCTGCTTATATCTGGTCTGGCAATGTACTAGACTGCATCATGACTATAGAGGTTACATTGCCTTCTCTTCCACATAAGATATTAATATTTCTGTGTAAATTAAAGCAAAAGCTCTAGCTGCTGTTACCTATTGCAGTGTAACCAAGTGCTACACAGGGTGACATGTGGAGTCAGAAATTTCTTTCTCATCCTCTTTACTGTCTAATTACTAGGCACATGATTCAGATTTTAGTGTCTGGGGTCCCCCCCCCAGAAGATAAATGACATCCATTTTATCTTCATTTACACCTAGTTAAATTATGTCACACAAAAGCTTCGAAGTCCCATAAAGGAAGAAGGGAGTACAGACCACATTTATGCGCACTTTATTTTTTTAGGCATTCATTTAAGACATCTTTGTGTACATCTGAATAATGTTATTTGTGAAACAGCCCTTTAGCTAACCTGGGAAATGCCAACCTGTATGTTAAATACATCCTTTGGGCAAGATTCAATTTCCTTACCTTTCTGGGAGGAAGTATTCTGTTGCTTGTTCGTCCAGCTAGCACATATATACTGGAAATTACATTTCTGATTTTGTTTAGTTTGCAAATAAGACCTTGATTTGTGAAAAGGATTTTTGTTTTTGTTTTTTAAAAAACCTCTCCTCTCCCCTCTATATATCTACTTCCCAGCAGAGGGAGCACAAGTGGCGTTGTCCAACAAGCCACTCGTTCATTGCTTCAGTGATTGTAAGCTTCTCAAAGAAAAGAAAAATATATCGGGCTGAAATCCTATGCACACCCTTAAATTGAAATCTGTGGGGCTTGGTTCTGAGCTGACATGAATAGGATTGTGATTTGAATGATGTTTAAGGCCACATATGTTCTGATGGACTCTTTTGAAAGCAGATGTGTTGAAATGCACAGTGTGCTTTATGTGGCAAGCATTTCTGCAGGGTGCAAAACAGATGCTTTCATGCCTTGAATAGAAAATAAAGTAAAAAAGAACATTGTGAATGTTGAATGATATTAATGAAGAAAATCTGGAAAACACAATAAGTAAAGTGGTCACAGTGTTTGCCTGTTTTATGATTTGCATTATTTATTCATTTTTAAAGGTATTTTTTAAAGGGAAAGATAATCCCAGAGGGTCAAAAAACAATAAAATCTAGCATTTACTTTATGACTGGACCCAACATATTAAACTTATTGAGATATGCATTTGAAATAGTACTTAAAAGACCTTTGTTGGGTTGAGGAATATGTTACTGGCAGATGTAATAAAATAGTGTAGAAAAGCTCTTATTTTAACACTTTTTTTTTTACTCTGCCACTTCTCTATCCTCAGTTGCCCTCTCTCAAACCAGCTTTTCTTAAAAATAAAAAGATTTGTAAAGTTGCACCATCAATGGATGAACATTCCTGGATGAGAAATGGCTCACCGCAGCCCGTGTGCCTGGTCTACTGGGCTGGTGTTGGCGTTTGTGTACCCATGATCACAGCATGGGGAAATGGCTCCTTAGACAAGGATCCCTGGAAGTCCAACTACGTGAATTGTGAGGACCCCGCTGCCCTGAGGAAGTTCACCTGAGGAAGAAATACAGGGAACACATCCTAAATGGAGACATGTTGCTCTATTTACTTTGCTTCTCCCTCAGTCGGAAAAAGGCAAAGGCAAATGATACCAAAGGGTGGGGAGATTCAAGTGGAACGCTCCTTCACAAACTGTCTGGCTTCAGTCACCACCTATGCAGGCATAACCATCACCACTTATCCAGAAAGGGGAGGATCTTGAGGTTCTGCACACAGCGCACCACCGTCCTGTGCTCAAAGCTTCTAGAAAGGCAGAGCTGGAGAGGTGTTATTGAGCCCACACGAATCAATGGCACATGGAAGAATATGAAGAGGGCCATGCAGCAGAAGGTGCAAGGACTTGGGGGCTGAGGGATTCGGAAGCCTGGCATCATTTTTGATCATGAGGCCCTGCAGAGACCCAATGGAGTGCATTTTTGCCACTGGGCAACAAGGCTTGGTAGCTGGACATTTACAATGTACAGTGGTACCTCGGGTTACATACGCTTCAGGTTACAGACTCCGCTAACCCAGAAATAGTGCTTCAGGTTAAGAACTTTGCTTCAGGATGAGAACAGAAATCGTGCTCTGGTGGCACGGTGGCAGCAGGAGGCCCCATTAGCTAAAGTGGTGCTTCAGGTTAAGAACAGTTTCAGGTTAAGTACGGACCTCCGGAACGAATTAAGTACTTAACCCGAGGTACCACTGTAAGTAGTTTGGCCGTGAGTCAGCAGAAAGGGGCCGACTCGGGTGGCAGATATGGCATTGGGTCGGATCCTTGTGCATGAGAAAGGCTTGACGTGTTTTCCCCATTGCCATAGCTTAATTTCCCCTCCCTCACACAAAACACAGCGTGGCCCACCATGTCTAGATGCAAACCCAGGTTTTGAGGACAAAGTGAGTAGAAATAATTGGAGTGTAGGAAGCAGGCTTGGCTGGAAAGGAGCGGAAAGGAGCATATAAAAAGCAGGGAGAGAGGGGAGAGCTCATGGAGAAAGGAGCAGTGTGGTTCTCTCTGGTCAGGGAGAGAACCAGGAGCCAAAGAAGAAATAGGAGGAGAAGAAATAAGACGTGAGTAGGATTTGGCTTCCTCTAGCGATGAGCACCTAGAAAAGCACAAACCGTCTTTCGAAGACAATTATTTCCAAGGTGGAACAATTATCAAAGGATAAGTAGTCTTCACAGATTTCCTAAGTGCTCGTGCATGTTTACATATTTACATGGGGACTGGCGTTTCAGATTCTGTGAGGAATCAGAGATAACAGATCTCCCCCCCTCCCCCAGCCATGATCAATGTTGCACACTGTGTGATGAAACAAATCATTTGCATATGTTAGTGATAGTGGTGATGAGAGAGAGAGAGGGAGAGAGGTCCCTGCCCTCTTCCTGTTCCACAATGCAACAAGCCTTTTAATTGAAATGAAACCACAGCATGATATAACAGCGGCATGATCTGGCCGTAGGAAATGCAAGGCCAAAGGCATCACTTGCCACAGGCTGGGTCCAAACCAGAAATGCCACAAGAGTCCAAAAATAGCACAGAGTGTCTGCCTCGTCAACATGACTGAAGCAGGAAGACAGCAGACTGCATGCATAAAAACAAACTTGTTTATCTGGTCAGGATCAGAAAGGAGGGCATTCAACCAAGAGGCAGGCTGGTGGTGGAAACAAACCTAAGAAGAGCTCGGCAGGATTGGATTAAAAGTCCTTGTACTCCAATATTCTGTTTCCAACTATTGGCCAGTCAGATGCCTCTAAGGAGGAAGCGTTCAAGCAGGGCACGAAGGCACCAGGCAGCAGCCTCCCCTTATTGTTTTGGACACAGCACATGGGGTTCATGGGTACTGCCTCTGGTGTGGAAGAAAGCAACCAAGTGCACCCCAGTAGATTGCACACATCAAAGGTTCATTTCACACCATATACTGAGAGGTACTGCAAAACAGCAGGAAGCATTAAACCTAGCCAAACACATTTTGTAAAAAAGAAAACTGACATAACAATTTGGGAATGAGTCAAGGCAGCTTTATTCCCTGCTGTCTAACCCTGGCTAAGGCACCCAAGCCATGATTTTAGGGAGGGGGGAGGCTTTATGTTAGGGGGAGCAGAACCGAGTTATCTGTGATGCAATTGATCAGTGAGTAAAGTATTTGAATGAATGAATTTTATTATTTCGGTCACTGACCAGTTCCAGCGTAAAGTATTTTTATTTATGGTATTTACTTGATTGCAGGGGGGCAGCTGCCTCCCTGGCTATGCCCATGACCCAAGCTTATTCATCTGTACAGCCTTTTCATATGATCTTTGTTCTAAAAAACCAGACAGTTGTTACTCATTTGTTTCTGAGGATGCAGATTAGAGCTGTGTTTAATCTTAATGAGCAAACATTTTTACAATGAAAGTAGCATGTGGGACAGAAACACACTTGAAAGCCTCTCTTACTCAGCTTCTTCCTAGCCATGTTATCCCAGCCAAATGGGTCTCAAGTACTCAATATGACAGCATAATGATGTCACAAAATCATAATGTAGCACTGTAGCCGTGCCAGTTCAGAGAGAAGACAGTGCTTCCTGCCCTTTTTTCTGAAAAGGCAGACACCATATTGCCAATCTGATGATGATTCCTGCGGAACAAATGCAGAGAGAGGGCAAGAAGTATTGCTTTCACTTTGAACAGGGAAATACCTTCACACCTGTTAATAGAGCTCACCCCAAAAATGAAGGAAATTTTCACAAAGTATGGACTTTTCACAAAAAAAAAGAAGAGCGGATACTCAGCTCTAACATGGACATCTTTTTTCCAGGTAGTACTTCTTTTGTGGGGATATTCAGTTTTTTCTCATCATTCAAACCAAAATATTTTATTGCTAGGAAAATGTGATTTCCTTACCAGCCTGTGCACTGGTTACAGCCATGTGAGATCTAGGTCTCAGATGCTGGCTGTGCAAGCATGAGCTGCTCTCAACTAAGAGCTCTGGCTTGGCCTAAATATTCAAATGAGCTTACAGAGACATTTTCATTTTGCTGGCACATGGGATGCTGCTCCCTGGGTCTCCCACAAAGGCCTGTTTCCAGACAGTCACTCGATTAGCCCATCAGCTACTCTGCTGCGTCCAGAGTTCCCTTAAAATACATGCTGCCACTGCCTACTAACTTATAGAGAGTAGTACAATTCCCTTTATGTTGTTAATCAAGTACACATACACAGGGCGTTTTTTCTTTAAAAAATGTCTAGGGCTACTCTCATTTTGACTCAAGAAAGCCACCATTTTATAGTGCAAATTGTGGGTGGGGATACAGTAAATGGACAAAAGTACAAAGATTCACAAAATGCTTATGGGTATGCGTCCCCCTGCGTCCCCCAGAAAAAAAGCACTGCACATACACAAGGCAAGTGAAGTGAGACATTTACCTCAGAATCCACCCAGATCATAACAGAGCTATGAGAGGCAGAGAGAGAAAGAAGGAATGAGATGAGAGACAGAATGAGTGCAGGGGTTGTGCCAAATTGATTGCCATCTAGGATCTGCGACTGTGACCCCTAAGGCTTTCCCCCATGTTATATGAAGGCCTTTCTTGGAGGTTTCTAAGCAGAGGTTGGATGGCCATCTGTCCTGTATGATCTAGTTGAGATTTCTGCATTGTAAGGGGTTGGACTAGATGAACTTCACAGTCCCTTCCAGCTCTACAGTTCTATAATTCACTGATTCTGGGGGCCACTAGGGGCGCATTGGAAGATGGCCAACAATACCATCTCTCCGGACCACACAGGGTAATTAAGAGGCTGTTATGGGAGTCGGCAGCCTCCCTTGTTGCCCCAAGGGAATGGGGAACACTGCCCTTGCCTGCTGTGCCCATAAATCACCCCCAAATTCAAAAGAAGGGGGTGAGGGCACTAGGCAGAATGCCCCCGTGTGGACCCCGGTTCTCCTAGACGCTGTCTCTGATCGCGCACTAGCTGCAGCAATTTGGAATAATTAATTACGAAAGAAGCAAATGCACATATTTCAAGTGAAGAAGGGGAGTGAAGACTGCTAACAGAAGGGACCTCTGTGAAAGAAGACGACGGGTTGGAGCAACAGGAATATTTTACGAAGAAGACATCAAAGGCTGGGTATGTTGGCAAAGGGACTGGATGGGGGGGGAAACCTTTTTTTTATTTTCTTCTATGTGATTAACCAAGAACCCCCCCTCGTTAGAACCATTGGTTAACTGACCCAAGCAGGATGATTAAGGACTGTGTGGAAATAAACTTTAACCAAAAGTATGCTTTATGGAGATTGAGTAAAGAACAAGAGCTTTTGGAATGGCGCAGCAATAAATACAGAATCGCCATCTTGTCAGGTCTTGCCGAAGGATTTATAACCGGGAGGAGGAATGGATTTGTTTTCAGACTGCATTCCTGGTGAATCTCCTCAGAGGTTGAGAAAGGCGACAGATTTGTGAAGATTAACAACGCTAAGACTGTTTTGAGTTATGGAAGTGATGTTATACGGAAAACGTCTGGATATGGCTATTGGATAAATATATATATATATATCCACACAGGATTACAAACTGTTTTAACCCGCTTGTGGAGACTATCAGAGGTCACAAAGAGAAAGGAAAAATATATGAAAATAACAAGAAGAGATGTGGAAAAACAATAAGAAAGGACTGGACAGTACTGTGAACATCAAATGGTCAGATTTGTGGATATTAAAAGCAGCAAGAAGAAGCAAGAAGATGATTGGATCCCCTTCGGAACTTGAAATATGGGTACCCCCAACAAAAATTTAAAATTCGGCTTTGTAATTTGGAATTTATGTAATTTGGTTTGATTTGATGTGATTGGTCGGTTAATAAAAATTATTCTATAATTCACTGATTCTTTTATGTGTGCTTACATTCACAACTCTCATCTCATTCCCTCTTTCTCTCTGTGTCTCATAGCTGCTGCACTCTTTTCACTTTGGTACTGTCAACCATTCCTCTACTCATTCTTTCTGTCACATGGCCTCCTTTCAAACAATCATCTGAATTCGGTGTCCCACAACAAGCAAACAGGATAGTTTTGCTGGAAACATGACAGCTGCAATTATGAGACTTAAACCCAAACCAAACCCACCCAAACAAACAAGGCATAATAAGAAAAGGATACACACTCAGTCATGGTTGTAACCATAGCAATGAGTTCCACAGGCCCATTTGGTGGGCTCATTTTAAATAACCTCTCTCCTAGATCAAATGGCATCTTCTGATTTAATCAAGTCAGTATAAAAAAACACCCGCTGAACCACTGTCACAGCTACAATTCCTTTTAAGAAATATGAGGCAATCTTTTTTTCCCCCTCTTGCCAACCAGTGTGCTGGAACAATATGTCTCAAAACTTTCTGAGTCTTGCCCCTCATTCTGAGTAGCTGTTTCTTCAGAAACAGGAATAAGGTCCTCTTGTAATCCAAAGTTCAAAGAAAAGACAGCACTCTAGGAGTCACAGAATCATTCTTCAAAGTTCTAGCAAGGTTTAAAAAAAGCACGAGCGAGACTTCTGTGGGGCAAGTTTATTCTTGGGCCAAGCCTTAGCACTACCACATTTTCAAAAAAACTTGTATGAATGAACATTTGCTGTAATGCAAAAATGCAATTAGGTATGACTTGGGAAAACATGGCTAGAAAAGCAGGTTCTGCTTGTCCTGTAAGATTTCACACCTGCTTGCTTTTTTACATACTGATAGCTGAGAAGGCAATTCAAGCAGTGCAATATTGTACATGTCTACTCAGAAATTTCATTGTTTTCCGTGAAGCTTGCTCTGAGCTAAGTATTATGGGATTCCAACTGAATAGAGTTTCCTCCAACAGTAGCTTTGTTGATGATTGACATTCCTTCTTCAAAGTGCACTGATCACTCACTCACAAACCACACATTTTGGAAGTGATCCTCATTCTGACTGGAAAGCGTTTAGAATAGGCAAAAAGTGGGTTCTGTGCACTAGCCCTTTTTTACTGCTGCACACCACCCCAATCTCTGAGCAGTGTGAGGTTCCAGGTGCTTACCAGGGTTCATGCCTCCTTTGAAATGAAGGATAGTGGAGACTGTAGTGTCTTTATGATATACAGTTTATTTACACATATATACAACCTGAGCCTACAATGGAGGGGGGTCACAGCATTAACACCCCGTGAGTATTATTATTATTATTATTATTATTATTATTATTATTAATTCAATTTATACAACACCCTATACCTGGAGGTATTGCTTCTCCCATAGCCACAGACTTGGATTCAAGCAGAAATCAGGCATGGCTATAACTCACAGGCTTCAGCCTGCTTCTTCCTCCAGCTTCTAGCTTACACATACACACACCTCAGCTCTGACTGTTGTCTTTTCTAACTAACTACCAGTGAGTTGAGGGAGGGGCCCCCACCCATTTGCTATATGGCACAAAGCCACTTCCTTTGTTACTTTAACAACCCATATTTAGAGGACCATTATCAAGAAGCTTGTCTGGCTGTTCTGACAATTTGAATCCTTCCTTAGATGTTAACCCTTGCTGGAGCCACGAATTAGCAGGGTCTTGGCATACAGCCTACTCCCCGCACCCCCACCCCCAAGTCATAACATTACATTTGCAAGGATTTAAAGAACGGTAGCTTTAAACCCTTGAAACATGAAAATTCCTCTTTAATGAAGTACTTCCTGTTTTCCAGCTACTGTGGCTCATCACAGTAAAACATGAATGTGCTCTAAGTGGTACCTAATGCTTTTGAAAACATCCTCAGCCTGGTCTAGTGTGTACAGAAGAGTCCTTTTAAAATCCTGATTCTGTTCCCAAAATAATTCAGCTTGATTAGCTAATGTCTGTAGCATCTGTATGGGGGAAAGGTCATAGCTCAGTGGCAGAGCATCTACTTTGCATGCAGAAGGTCCCAATCCTCGGTATCTCCAGATGGAGCTGGAAAAGACTTCTGCCTCAAACCCCAGAGAGCCACTGTTAGTCACTGTAGAGTTGACCAAGTATCCCCAAACTTGGCCCTCCAGCTGTTTTGGGACTACAATTCCCATCATCCCTAGCTAACAGGACCAGTGATCAGGGATGATGGGAATTGTTGTCCCAAAACAGCTGGAGGGCTGAGTTTGGGGGTGCGAGCTGTAGACAATACTGACTCGGTGGACTAGTGGTCTGGCTCAGTATAAGGCATATTCCTGTGTTTCTATCTGTACATTAATGGAAAGGACGCTCTACCCAACACTTTCTCTTCTGGAGGACTAAGATAAGGAATATTCAGACACGCACTGAAATACACAAGGAGGGTCACAATGGGAGGATGCAGTGGATTAGCACTGCAGATGTGTGCAGCAGCCGCTCCCCCCGACACAGCTCCCCTCAGATGTTCATCATCACCCCACGCCAGCTCTGCTCCCCATTAATCAAAGTTTGGAATTATTTTCACTAACACAACAGTGGGGAGATTGGTCAGTCTCAGTTCCAGTCAAGGGCATTGCTAAGCACTTACAGGATTTGAAGCACAGGAATCATGGCACAGATTTGCATAAAATTTGCATATGCTTACTTATCTGAACAGATGCCTCTGGGCATATAAAGATGGCAGGTAGCTGCCCAGCGTCTCTATAAGCAAAGTAAATAAAAACAACAGTAAGGCTACACTCACAGCATACATCTAATGCACTATGGTACCACTTTAGCCAGTCGTGGTTTTGCCAAAGAATTATGGGAACTGTAGTTAGTTAAGAGTGCTGAGAGTTGTTAGGAGACCACTATTCGCTTCCTAGAGTTCCCAGAGTTCCAGTGGTTGCTTTAAATGTATGAGGTGAATATGGCCTAGATCTTTAAAAAGTGAGGGATGTGGCTGCCAGTTCATGTTGGTTGTAGAAAATTGTGGACCACGCGAGCCTGTCTTGGGCACTTGATTATGCTCCATGAGCAGATCTTGCAACGTGTACTTTCTCCAAAAATTACAGCTAGGTCTGAGGAGGTCTAAGAGGAGAACCAGATGTTTCTGGGTTAGTTTCAGAGTTTAATTTTCCAAATGAGAGGTGCCAGGCCTCAGGCCTGTCTGGAAATCAGGCCCTATGCTGTTCTGAAAGTCGTTACCCATAATTCCTGAGCAGGTGATGCCGGTGACTGTGATTCTCAATGACAAGGGAAAGGCAACTCATGCTCCAAGGCACATTCTCATTACTTTACCTGTTACAGGGCTAAGCATTTGTATGGGAGAACAGTTTCCAGAGCTAAGCTCTGATGAGCTTTCCTGGATTTATTGCCACCGATTCTCTTTTTCCTTTATTTTGAGTTTGAGCAACCTCTCCGTCTCACAAGTGCTTGGATGGGACTAATATGTAGCGACAAGAGTTAAATACCTACATGAAAGCTGCATGGAATCATGCAGTACATAATGCTGCAAACGGCTTCAGGAGGCACATTTTACATTTGCTTCCATAGACTTTTTAAGATTGAAAGCAATCTGTTTCCACCATCGGAATAAAATGCCACTCTGATTCTTGTTTGGTGCCCTGTTAGCAACTAGACTTGCTAGAGGGTTTCTGCGATGCTCTCCCCACAAAGCCCTGCAGCTAAGGACTCAGTGAAGCTTGCTAACATTTTGACTTGGTAGGGCTGCAATTTTTTAAACCTTTTTTTACCATCATAATAGGACTTGTATGGCACTGACTTAAGGAAAGTGTGTCATTAAACATGTATAGGGTCCCATTGTCTCCTCTCTCCCTGGAGCAGTCCAGGCAGTTGCTGCTGCTGTCCCTGGTCTCTGAGCTCCTCACCCCCATGCCAAAGAGAGGTGCCTCCTCACACTGCCCTACAGAGGCCTGGGAAGCACCCCCTGGCCAGCTCCAGAGGGAGGGAAGGAAAGAGGGACAGATCGCTGCAGCACCCCTGACCATCATTCAAGGCACCACAGGGTGTCACTGATTGAAAACCACTGGTTTACACCTACACATCCATAGCAAAAAAACTAAACACAAAACATATTTAAAACGTGATGAAAACTTGCTTCCAGTTGTATAGTTTTTCTCCTTCCAAATATCAGTTTAACGATTCATTATCCTAAACATTTCCCCCCTAAATTAAAAGAAAAAAGTATTCCAGCCAATAGACAAAAACGATTGTGCATTCAAGCTATATCCCCTGTTAGATCTTGTGTCACCTGCCCTGCCCCATCCAGCAGCTGCTGCAGCTTTTAATGAATGAATGTAGGGAAATGCTTATTACAGAGTTTGTTGCAACACATACACAAGCCATCCACCATTGCAAAAGCAAAATGATTAAGTGAAAAACAGATATTTATTATAGAAAAATACTCGCTGTTGCTTGCTTGTTCACTCTCACTAGCAAAGTCACCAAAAAATACTAAACTAAACAAATGAACAGCTCCTCAGATTAGGAAATATTCCCTGTTTCTTATCTGGCCTTCAGGGAAACAGCTCAGTGTATGATTCTGATATGCTAATCCTACCACATAAGGTTGTTTCTGAAGCAGCTCTAACTCCTTCCCTATCTGCTATAGTAGTTGTTCTGGACAGGCCTCCTAGCAACAGATGGAGCAAGAGCTTTCCTACTAGGGCTGACTTTTAGACAGCCCAATCTGTCACTTTTTTTTCTGTTTAGAGACACATGGGCAGGACCTCTTTGCCATAGCTGTACTTTTGGATTAGGATTAGCCGAGTAGTAGAGAGATCTGTTTGCCCAGAGAACAGACAGTTGAAAGAAATGCCTCTGTAAATATAAAATGTATACACTCCTGAGT